CTTTTCAGGACCCCACCTTGATGTTTCGGGACCCCACATTGGGTCCCGACCCCAACTTTGGGAAATACTGCTCTAGAGCCCTGCTAGCTGTTGTTTTGACAGACAATCAGGTACAATCTTAGGTACGCAAGGGAGCTTTATGACATACCATATGGTGCGCTTTTTCCATTTTGACAGCGCAAGCGCACCTGCGCACTGGTTATGTGCACCTCTGGTTATATAATGTCTAATGCAAAAATTATTCAGACAGGAGGGAAAAAAATTATGTCCCATCCTCAATATCTCTAAAACCACAGCAGCTGTTTTCATACTTACACTTCTAATAAAATCTCCAAAGTGTTAGCTTTAGTTTGATACCAAGATTATTTAAGTAGAGTTTGCAAAAGCTGAGTTACTAAGTTACATTTCAGCATGGGATTTTGAGCAAAAACTTCAAGAAAAGCCCTTAAACCAACCCAGCTGTAGCGTGGATCCAGGATGCAAAATGAGATTTTTACTTTTTTTTTCTTCTGTGTTTAAAGCGCCTAGCCTCGTTGCTGATCATGTCTCAGCTGGTGAATCAGGTGACAGAGATAGTCATCCCTTACCTGGTGGACCGGTTCATTAGCGCCCCCAACAGGATGGAGTCCGAAGACGACCCAGAAGAGGATAAATTCAGGAACCAGCGATCCCTGCCTCCTTTTCCTGTAAGTAAAACAGCAGAGAGCAAACATGCAAAGAGGCTTTAAATGACAGAGAGACTGTGTGATCCTCTCACAGGGCCTGTTCGGAGAATACATCGAGCTCCTGGTGCAGTTTGGGTATTTGAGTCTTTTCTCCTGCGTCTTTCCCCTGACCGCCGTCCTGCTGCTCCTCAACAACCTAACAGAGATCCGATCGGACGCCTACAAGATCTGCAAGCTGTTCCGCAAACCCTTCTACCCCCCCGCGTCCGACATGGGCGTGTGGCAGGTCAGCAGACGGACCCCACCTGAACCGCTAACGCACTTCGACCCACTCTAACGTGGGTGTCCTGTGGTTTTTTTTTTTTAGATTGCCTTCGAGGTCCTGAGTTTCGTCTCAGTCGTGTCGAACTGCTGGCTGCTGGTGCTGTCGCCACGTTTGCAGAAGAAGTGTCAGGACGGAGAGATGAGCAGCACCAACCTCCTGCTGGGGGCCGTCATCGTGGAGGTGAGAGGAGGCCGCGAGGAAAACTGTGGATAAATCTTGTGCCAGCAGGAACTGAATTTGAATTGCTCAGACTGAATCTGAATGTGGATCATTTGAAACTGAATGCGTTGGTTTGAAAATTTATTTTATTAAATTGAAACTGAATTAAAAGTTTTGAATTTGAATTAATTTGCTTTGAAACTGTATTTTGGTTCTCTGTTCGTTTGCAGCATTTCCTCATTTTAGTCAAGGTGATTCTGGCCGCTCTGATCCCAGATGAGCCCGGCTGGATCCGAAAAAAGAGGGAGCACATCGAGTACACATCCATGCAGGCCCTAAAACACCAGGTTGACTTTAACTCTGAGTGATTTCCTCCACATTTACCTCATCCTCCATCTCTCTGACGTATGCTCTTTTTTTCTCCAGAAGCTGCAAACTGAAGAGTCCTAGCTTTGTTTCAACGTGGAGCTTCACAGCGCCCGGTTTCAAGTGTTTTTGTTGCCTTCACTAACCAACACGGTGCCTCTGCAATTAATATAAAGCTCTATCCTGCAAGTGCAGCTAAAGTGTTTTATTTTTATATATATGAAGCAGCAAAGAGAATGTGCTGGATTTTATTTTCAGCATCAAAGTGTTGTGATGAAGACGTTTACAGAAAATAAATATTCAGGGTTTAGGGTCTGATGATGTGTTCAGAGCTACCGCCTTGTAACGAGCTTGTTTGTGTTCACGAGCCATAATTAGAAAACAGTATCAATAATGGAGTTTCAGCCAAAAAATAATAAATGATTCAACCACATTCCACTCCAACAAAGAGGCTTTGCTGTTTTTATTGTTGTTATTAGCTGAACTATGAATTATTCAGGTATAAAAAAGCTCTTATAACTCAAGGGATGGACCAGTGTTGTTTCTACACACATATTAGACAAATTATTCTTTCACAGGATACAAAAAACACATATTTTTGCTTTAATGTTGCCAAAGAGATAAGTATATAACAGCTTATTAT